AATCTAGATTGGAAGGTGCACTAATCTTCTAATTCAGTGATTTTCGTAAGTTTCAAATACGTTATAATTTTAGAAGAACGTCAGATATATATGAATATATTCTGAACATTCCCACAAATATGGATGGTTAATCATCGATTTCTTATTACATAGTTTCAAATAAATAATAATTACACTGCTGTATCAAAGAACGTTTACAGTGCGTGAAATAATTCTACCCTCTAAATATGTGTGTTATTAATCATAATGCATTGCTTTGTTATGTAGACACAATAATAAAACATGTTATGACTTTACTTGACGGTATTAGTCAGCTGACACTTGTTTGAGACTCGGTATATCATGATATGCCCTGTTATTCCTGATTGGTTATCTGATTTGATCGATTTTAGGATCGATTGACGAGCCTCGTTGTCAGAAACAGATCCGCTCCTTCAGGTCAGCAGGACGGGAAGGGCTTTGTTTCAAACAACATAATTAATCTAATGAGCTTGCTTGTTTTCCTAAGAAACAACAACAACAATACTAGTTAAACGTTAGCCCACATATTTCATTCGTCGTATTTCAATATGCTGGTAAGTCATTTGATTCAGGAATAAAAACAATGAATTGAAATTCAATAAGCATTGTAACAAAAAAAGAGTAAAGCTACTTAACAACGTTTGATATCTTATTTAAAAGTATTCGAGATATAACACATTTAACATGTAATAAATGATTGGAATAAATTTAATTTAGTTCCTTATCTAATAAATTATGTTTTTGATCATTTCGGAGACGAACGATGAGAGAAAAGTGTGTTATACATTAACAGATTGCACTAAAGACACACAAGCGAAGGGCACTATTTAGCATAATTCAGACTCAAAAACAAAAGTGACAAATATGAATTAAAATGAATTACACAGCTGTTTTGTCCCTCTGTGGCTAATGATAGGAGCTTTATCGTGAAAACGTAGGAGACGACTGGTGGATTTTCATAGCGATCGAGTCAACATCTAGATAGGGGGGTGCACTAGCCCCTTGTTGCAGTAGTTTTTACAATGTTTGATAATTTCAGCAGAATTTCAAGTACTAGTTTATGTTCTGTCATTACGGAATATTTTCCAGCTCCTCGTTGATGACTTTGTGAAACATATGAAATTGATTCCACGTTTATCCAGTGAAGAATGTTCTATGCCAATTACGACCATAAGACGATAATATTTGGCCTACATTTTCATGACACCATAAAGTATTACTGAACCGTGAGTCTGCTATGTGATAGGACTTTAATATTGTGTATATGTGCTTGTGTCATTCTTGATATCACAGGGCCATATCATAAAACCTTGAAGGGAAATAATAATCAGTTCTTGTTTTTTTTTCAAGAGTGTCTTGTCTTTATTTCCACAAAGCAAATTGTAATTTTGAGATTTAATTTCGGTTTTCCTGCACACGCCGACATTGACATACATTACATCTAATAGAGATTGATTTAAGTTTTGATAAGTTATTCAGAATTACATGTGGTAAAATAAATTTAGAAATATGAATTAATAAAAATAATTTCAATTTAAAAATCTAACACATTTCTGAATTTCGTAATCTAGTACGTCTCCAAATCTAGTAATTTCGTACTTTTCCGAATTTTGTTATCTGTATATCTCTAAATTTGGAAATCTAGTACGCCCCTGAATGAAGTAAGCTAGCCCATATTTGAATTCAGTAATGTAGTTATGTCTCTAAATTTGGAAATATAGTACATGCCTGAAATAAGTGCATCTCTGAATTTAATTGAAAACCCTCTGAAAATAAAGTTAAAACTCCATTGGCACTGAAGATTCAAAACGCTTCGATGGGTTCAACAACACTGTCAGTGTGCTCAACATGGACCCAAAAAACGTCACGATATCAGAGCTGTGAAGTCTATTCCTCACTGTTTGTGCAGAAATTCTTTTTCCAGTAGCTTGACAGAAGTCGTTATTCAACCTGATTTCGCCTAGCAAGGGTGCTTAAATAACGACTCTGACGGGCTGTCGTACTCCATAGTCTACCTGATCGAGGTTTCTCGGTGACGTTTCCGGTCATCTGGAATCGATTCCACAATCGAGAAATGACACTCTATAATACATTGAAGTGTGTAGCCACAATTTGTTGTGATTGTTCTACTTGAAGAATCCCGACTTCTCGACCAGCCTCTGCAGCTGTTATGGGATGTCTCAAGTTATTAAATGTTCAAAGAAGGGTGCAAAATGACAGGACATTAAAAAGAAACACACAATTTCAAAATTTAGTGATTGATTTGACGTTAAGTCTACAAAGACTTTCACTAAAACCACAATTGACACTATAATTCTAACTCTGTGTCACATGATTTCTTGCCGCACGTTTACTGTAGGTTGCACGGGTAAATCGTTACTGGATAGTTATTGTGTATAAATTGGTGATAACAGTGGCCAAGGAGTGTCAAGCTGAATTTATTCTAATGACAGAAAAAAATCTATATATCTATGATGCTTAACTTTTTGAGTCCCGTATATCAAGACTACTTTTCCGAGAAATAAAAAAAATCCAGTATCAATTTTTTTTCTGAATGTGTTTTTTGAAAGGTTTTATTTAGAAAGTAGATTAGAGGATAAACAAAAAACTTTTTTCCGGTACAGACGTCGTAGTATGTGTAAAAGGAAACTATTCATTTCAATATACCATTATCATTTTTTCCTGATACAAATGATACAAAATAATATTCAATTAAACTATGACAAAATATGAGCAAAAGAAAGATTTACACGGAGACTCATGAAAAAGTACAAGGAGAATAAGACCAGGTGTTCCCAGAGAGTAAGCGTTTTTGTTAGCTACGCGTAATGCTCAATGTTAGGAGTCGTTAATGTCAGAAAAATATCTCATCAATAATGGTGGTGGAAATGAAACTACAGCACAAAAACTATTAGCTGAAACAGGATAACAGAAAATAGACACATAAGGTATTATATGAGTTTTTTATTATTGTTATAACAGTTCAATAACTTAGTAACAAATTGCTGCATTTGCACATCGAAGTTGATCTTCTGAAATGACGTCTTTCTCCATGATTTGAAATCCATGCTTAATGAGGAGGAGGAGGAGTGGGGCCTAAAATACATAAATAATTCATTTCAGTCACATGACATCCAGTATTGTTGTCCATGGTTACTTGAGTCACTTTCTGTTTGTGTTGGATTTATTCAATGAATTAATGAAGTAAAATTATACATACTACTCACATACCCTAGTATGTGAAATGGAACTGTTGTTTATTCTCTTTTTAGTCGTGTTACCTTTCAGTACTTGATTTGACTGGCTGTTATCATCTTCGCGAATTCTGAAAAAAAATAATGAAAAAAAGAAAAAAAACTTGTATTAAGTTTTCGAAGTGGTGTGACATTGTGTTTATATTGTTAAATGATCACGATATATCATATTCGTTGCTCGTATTTTTTAACAGATACTTTTAAATTATACGCGATACTAAATTAGCATTATCAATTCAATGCAGCATTAATGTATCAGGTGTATGCCAGGTGTGAACACTATAAACAGTGTATTTGACGTTATCCAGCACAGCAAAAAAGGTAAACAAAAACATACAGAATAAGCATTTACCACAAACCATTATCAAAACATCGGCTACTGTTCGTAGTGTATGAAGTCAGTATAACAATCTTATTGTGATTCTGGTTTCTCAAGAAGCTGGAATTGATGAACCACTAAATACTTCTTCCGCTTTGTACCCTACCAGACATCATTTTAAACTAAAATAAAATTTTCCTTCTTTTATTAGGACAAATTTCTTTTCAAACATTGGTGAACGATTTGGTTGTAAACTATACGGACGGACATGTCGTGAGAAAATTATGTCCGGGTCAATCGAGAAATGTCGAATTTCTGGTTTAAAAAAAATTCTTTAATTATGGCGGTTATTTTTTCCAACACACCCTGGTCATAGCGAGGGGACAAAACAACAAAGAAAGCACCAACATATCAACATAATTACAATTCAAATTTCATAAAACTATGTTGAAATATGAGCAAAACGGAGATTTACACTGCGACTCTTGAAAAAGTACAAGAAGAAGAAGACCAGGTGTTCCGGAAAAGTAAGCGTCCTTGGCTTTATCGACGACACCCGATATGTCTCGTTCTCAAATGAGAAAAAGGTATACAACAATGATACCAACAGGCAAACTAACGAGCATCAATCACGTCCAGCTTCATGTCACACAAAGAAATATTTCTCACTGAGATCACTATGGCGACCATAAATATCACGTATAGTCCATCACTGTGTGAGTTCACATAAGTATAACGATGACTTCTTCTCTTAAACCACAGTTGTATTAACAATGCCCATTATATGTACCAAACAGAAATAGAAATTTCAGCGATACCAAGAAGGAAAATTTTCCACCAAGCTGTATGATAAACATGATAATTTGTGAAATTTCCATTTGTGAATAGTTGCATGCCTTCATCCCCAACCCATGGTATTTACGATATCACGATTTCCATGCAAAATGTCAGCAATTGACAGACAAAGTCACTACACATCGTTTCGAAAGACGAAAGTTGACGAAGAATATAGTGGAGTTTTACGGTCGCCATGAGGTTATTTTACCGTTGTGCGATGAGACGTCGGACGTGTTTGGTGCCCGATAGTGTGCCTGGCCGTTCCGTTATTTTACCGTTTTCTTATTTGGTCACGACATAACTTTGTTCATATTTGCTCCTAGTTTCATCGAATTATACTTTGAATTAAGAAACTGTCTGTGTTTTCTTTGATGTTTAACGATATTTTTTTATTTTCCTGAAGAAAAAGTCGCTTTCGGTCTCAGGCCTCCTTGTAGGACGACCTCGTCTCCGGCGTTTGCTTTACTTATGGTTATTTCATCTTCGTCTTTTGTATCATAAAGCATAACTTGAATATAACCATTCAATGAAATAAAATGTACATCTTTACTTGGGTAACAACAACTTACCCTCGTAATTTATCTGACCTTCCCCATCCACGCCAGCCTCTACTAACATCTCGGTGATCTCTTCGTCCGTTAGCTTTTCCCCTAAATTTGTCATAACGTGTCGCAACTCGGATTCTGCTATGAAGCCATTGCCTTCCCTGTCGAACACTTGAAACGATTCATGCAGCTCCTCGTTCGAGTCCTGTATTCCTGCTCGTGACATCATGACCGATTTAAAATCCGAAAAATCTATCCCGCGACCTAAACAAAATGTGCGAAAGACATAAATGTGAAGAACATCTACAATGCGAATTTGAAATAGACTAAATATAGCCCAGTAGTCCTTCTAGGATTCGTCAGTGAGGCGTCAGAGGGAGACACCTAGGAGAGTACTAGGGAAATTAAGAATTGATAGTGAAAACTGTCAAAACCAGGTGCACTAGAAGTAACTAACTCACACTTTGATTTTGTCATTTATCAACATGATATTTTCCTGACCAAGACAGACCTTCAAAAGGAACCTTCATGATCATTGTTACACCTATGTTATATGCAGATATGTATACCAACACATGACATAAATCTACACATTCTTATTTTGGCAAACTGTTTCTGTGTTGAAATTGCTATATATCTAAATATACATTATAACAGGATCACAAAAACCTATTTTACTACATTATATTTTTCAGTTTGATGGAACACTTCACTCACCATCCGGATCGACTTCGTTAATGCAAGCCATGACCTCTGCCTCTGTAGGGTTGTGACCTACGGAACGTAAAATCGTTCCTAGTTCTCTGGAGTCAATGGTACCACGTCCATCTTTATCGAATAATGAGAAGACTTCCCTTAATTCTGCAATGTAATGAAAATACGTGGTCTGTAAGTGAAACCTTTGACCATCGAGATACTACATGATTAACGACGATAAGTTAGAGGAGTCTGACTTCTGGTCAATTATAGGGACGTAACTGTATATATAAGCATTAAAAGCCAACGATTCTTGCATTTGTAAAAGAGATGTTACCTGTCAAGTGTTCTTCACTCATCTCCGCCTGTTAAAAGAAAGAAATGCGAGGCACATTATTCATTTATCAATGATAATAGAGCGAAACAAAATGCCGACATATTTATAAAATCTTAATTAATTCAGACCCAATATCGATGAAACAGAAGCAAAAGAGAAGACATAATACATGGAGAGGTTTGGTTTTCAAATGAGAATAAGACTTCTGATATTTCGTTATTGAGTCGAATGCTGTTTGTTTTAATATTCAATATGGATATTCATTTTACTTTTTCCAAAATATGTTAACAGCAACACTGTCCTCCTTTGTTATAATTATCATAAGATATATTGTCATCTTTAAACTCTGTCTGCTTTATCCGTCTGTTTTTCTTCTTTCATCACTCAATAAAAAAAAGAAACATCATTGATATATATGTAATGTTAAACGTATTGGTGACATTTGTATACAATTTCCCTAATAATGTGAACATGGTTGACACTTATATTACAGACGTATTATTCATATCAATTACATTGCTACATTCTATACGAATATTTTTCATATTAATGATATGTGTACATTGTATTATTTTTCAATTCGTATTGGTGACATATGAATGGAAGCCATTTCTTACGAATTGCAAAAAGCGGTGAAACTATTCTAGACACATCAACAGGTTGAAAACCTTGCCTTTCACTTCCACACTAATCACAATAATATTGTATACAATGTAATATAATTACCCATTTCCATGTACTTAAAATGAAAAAAATAACATTGTTTAGCAATCAATATTCTTGTGTTGACAAAATATTTGTTCAAAGAGTGATCGTTCATATTTCATGAATTATACTATTCCCTTTGAAACTTACCACATTAATATTCAGTATTCTACGAGCACATTTAGGTAAAAATTGATATATGTTGAAAACATTGGGAGCCTACACAAATATGGCATACGAATAGTGCACTGGCATTCAAGGATATAAACTTACACGTGCTTACAATACTTAACAGGAAAGATCTTGTCTCGTGAAAAAAACCAGATATCATACAAACCGATATCAGATGTCACACCTCATATAATATAACCAAAATATAATTTGCTTAAATTCTCACCCGCACCCCAAGCTAACACAGTTCCTTTCTAATTCAATTCCTTATTACTCAGTACTTTCAGACTTATAAAATCAGTACCTTAGAGTTATGTTATGCTAGTGGTGTGTATTGATATCTATATGGAAGTAATGACAAGGAAATATTATCATTATTTAAATATTAAAACATCTCTCACGTGAATTCTATATATAGTAATCTCGTACCTGTTGCATTTTGCTCCTGTTCCTTTTAGACAACGTGAACTCGATGGTACCTTCCAACCTGTGTCGATAACACTACAGGGGCTCATGTGGGGTAATTTGTGTGTCGATAACACTACAGGGGCTCATGTGGGGTAATTTGTGTATGTATATAACAGTAAAAACAATAGCAAACTAAGTTCTAGTTTATAAAATATCAAGTTTTAGCTAGATGTAAGTTGTCTATTGTCAAATCTTGTCATTGTTTATATACTCGAACAGATAACAGGGAGGATTGGTGAAAATCATTGAGTGTAAACAGTAATATAGAAAGATGTTTGAACATTATCCACCGACTTCTGCATGAACAACAACGACCCTTTGATAAAATAATAAGTTAGCTGTAGTATACCTTTTGTTTGAGATGTGTTTGCCTTATTATTGAGATGAAAAGTCAGATATGTTATTTCCACAGATCCATGTGAAAAAATAAGTGTTATTTGTTTTTTTATCTGTTTGTCTTTTCTTTCTTTTTTGTTTGTTTGTTTTTTGTTTTTATTTTCCATTTATTTGACATCATAATTTATTTTGGTTTACAAACACAAACACGTGTTGTAAAGAAGCTTACAAAATCCCATTATCCAGGAGATCGCATTGTTAATAACTAGCTAGTGCGGTGTAGTCTTTCGTTAAAGTTTACGCACAGAATCAAACTTTGACCTCTCATACAAATTATTGCATGACTGATTCTCTAAGATGTTTGAACCACTGTTCGTTTGTCCGCATTGCAGGTAAACGATCGGATTGTCAATCAAAGTCACCAAATCACGTGGATTCTTACATGTACCTATACATATGTGTCAGACACCCTTCCTCGGCGACACCCACATACACATGCGACACTCAAACGTTTATTTGGAGATATAATGCTTCTTGACATAAAGAAAATGAGACCAAATAGCTACACGTACATCACCAAGTACCGACTGACGAATGTGTATCAAAATGTTTCTAGCTTATAAAATTATAAATGTAATTAAACAACATAGTACAGAGATCTTATTGTAAACAATCATTAATATAGAGGTTTGTCTATGATTGTTACTTATATTTTAATACTTTGCATATTGATGGCATTTTATACGTAAACGTTTACACGTTGGTAACATTTACAGATTTATAAGTGTGTGTATTGAGATAAGGGTTGGATTCCTACATTACAATGTTGAGTATATTTATCTATTTCTTAATTTCTACAGAAGGTTGGTAATCAGTCGTAAATTTTCTGTTCAATCTTTGACATACATGCATGGTGGCTTATTGTTGCCATTTCGACTTTTCGCCTTGCAAAATGGCACAAATCAGCCACCATAGATTTCACTTTCATATAAAACTCTCACTCTTCTTCGCCCAATAAACGTTTGGTAAATTCGCCCTAATATGCATAAACTCAGGCCCTCAGCTAAAAAAAAGTGTAGCTCAGCTTGAACACATGTACCTCAGCTGAAACACAGGTATATCAAATTATACACACGCATCTCGCCCTAAACACACGTATCTCAAATCAGACACAGAATCCCTGCTTAAACAAGGGTATCTCTGCTTACACACAGGTATCTTACCTTACACACAGGTATCTCAACTCAAACAAGTATCTTACCTTACACACAGGTATCTCAGCTTACACACAGGTATCTTACCTTAAACACAGGTATCTCAGTTCAAACAGGTTTCCTAGCTTAAACACGGGTATCTCAGCTTCAACACGGGTATCTCAGCTTACACACAGGTATCTTACCTTAAACACAGGTATCTCAGCTGAAACAGGTGTCTAAGCTTAAACACAGGTATCTCAGCTTACACACAGGTATCTCAGCTCAAACAAATGTCTAAGCTTAAACACATGCATCTCAGTTTTAACACATGTATCTAAGTATGAACACATTTATCTCAGTTTAAACTTTGGAGATGACACAGTGTTCAGAAAAAAACAAGTCAAAAGTGATCAACGTTTTATTGTTATTTATTGGATAAGTTCAATAAATCCTTGTTTGTGGAAGGTGAGACACTTCCTCTGCATAACAACAATATCCAGCTTATAGTTTTACCAATATACATAGAAAACCATGTATTCTATTGGTGAACCTTGAACTATGAGGATTCGAAATGTTCATTGCCGCGGGCATAAGGAATAGTATGTGTTAGGCTGCATACGTACATCTGATGCTTTGGTATTCTGAAATAAAAACGAAAATAAGATATCAATAACGTCTCATTTGTGAGTTAATCTTTATTGGTGTTTTATTTCTCATTTATTTATTGTTTTATTTATATATTTGTTTATTTATTGTTATTTTTTTTAATTTTGGAAATTTAAATCAGTTTCATCACAAAGCTGACCCTTTGGACTGTTATGATAGGCCATGTCATAATATCGTAAGACATGTGTAATGCCACTTATCTCGATATTGAAAATCGTGCCGTCAACGTTAAAATTAATCCTTTTCTTTCTTCGAAATGAAGATTTTAAAATGCTTGAAATAGTTGCATAATCAATCCAACTTCATGCTAAAAAACTGAAATCATAATACGTTATTTCTTAAAAACATTAACTTAGTAAATAAATATGCATGATTTGTGTTTGAATTTCCTTTGGAAGAAAGAGTTATCAGTATAAATAAGACAAAAAAAAAAAAAAAAAAAAAAACAAAACAAAAAAAAAAAAAAAAAAAAAAAAAAAAAAAAAAAAAAAAAAAAAAAAAAACAAAAAACAAAAAAAACAAAAAAAAAAAAAAAAAGCCCAATGCTTCATTAATAGAATTCCATCCGACTGATTCACAGTATATTATTGTTATTATTAAATTTAATATTTAGGAATGACAAAGTGAGAGGGATATGTGGTTCTTTTGTTTTCAAGATAAGAAGATAAAGTTCTACACTGCCTTACCTCATGTCTACTTCATTGACATCATAGTGACAAAGGCTGGAATATAGAATTATATACATACACTATACATAATTAATGCAAACTAAATATGATTTAGTAGAAGATTTATTGCACAATTTTCTATTCTCTATATTCAATCAGTAGTAAACATTATCGTTCTTTTTTCACGTTATGACATCATAGTAATTCAGTGTGAAATTTGAAATGGTATAATGTTTGATCAGTAAACGGAAGCATGCACCTCAATATCAAACCACTGTACCCGCCGTAACAAGCTGTTTCCTCACACTTCACACAACTTTCCCCGATGTCATTAATAGGCCACTCCTTGCGACATTACATAAATCTCCCCACCGCAATTAATCAGAATTTTTCTAACCTTATCACCCTCTCAACTCTCAATATTATAATTGATCAGACTTTTTCTAACCTTATCACCCTGTCAACTCTCAGTGTTATAATTAATCAGACTTTTTCTAACCTTATCACCCTGTCAACTCTCAATATTATAATTAATCAGACTTTTTCTAACCTTATCACCCTCTCATCTCTCACTATCATAATTGATCAGATTATTTCCATTCAAATCACCCTCTCTGATCATTCCTCACTATCAAAGTAAATCGTCAAACCATCTCTATCCAGACCAGCCTCTATGGCCAACGTTTAGCTTCACCGTTTATCAGACAATTTCCATCTAGATCAACGTCACTGATTAATTCTCACCATCATAAGCAATCAGACCGTTACCATCCACACCAGCCTGTCTCATCAACTCTCACCTTCACAATTATTCAGATCATTAACATCCACGCCAGCCTGTCTCATCAACTCTCACCTTCACAATTATTCAGATCATTACCATCCACGCCAGCCTGTCTCATCAACTCTCACCTTCACAATTATTCAGATCATTTCCATCCACGCCAGCCTGTCTCATCAACTCTCACCTTCATAGTTTATTAGACCATTCCCATCCAGATCAGCTTCTCTTATCATCTCGTCAACTTCCTCATCCGTTAGTTTGTCCCCTATCGATGTCATCACGTGACGAAATTCCACAGCATTAATGAAACCAGTCCCTTCCTTGTCGAAAATACGAAAATTTTCTTTCATTCCCTCTTCATCTTCATCGTCCTGTTCTTCTAATTTTTTACTCATCATTACCAGGAAACTCGCAAAATCGACCATCCCCGTGTCTGTAATATACAATGCCATGATAAATGATAATGGACAATCACCATACACAATATATTGTTCTCCTAACAGTTTATGCAAGGTCTATTCTCATTAACAACAATTTTAAGCAATCCCACAACATCTTCTCATGACGTCATCATCAAGTCGAACGAAAACGGTCTTTTCACTTCACTATTTTTGAATCATTTGAACTCTTACGCACGAAAGAAACACCTGCCAAAATAACAGATATGAACAAATCTGCTCGACTGAATGTCGATAACTTCGTCATCTTAGTTTAAAAATGAGCAAAGGACTGACTTGATTTCCAGCACTGCCCTAAACGTGAGACTGCCGATACAGTATAAGGAGGAGGCTAATAAACATTGGATCTCATCTTTCTATTCTCACATAAGAATTGCTTTATCTGTCTGATGTAAACTTCAAGTACCACTGTAATTCACATTAGCCGCATTTCTCAATCTTTTCCTCCCTTGAAATCGCCAAACGTTTTGATAAGCGTGGTGATTTTAGTTTCCTTATTGTGAATTTTCCATTTCTGGTTAGCAACTTGCCTGCTTCCCCAGTCTATGGTGTTTACATGTTCAGGGTGATTCGATATTCAAGGACTTGTTCCTATTATCACGATCCCGATTCTGGGTTCCTAGTTCCAAATTTATTACGTAGGCGGTAATAGTGATTAGATTTTATGGCTTAACACTGGTTCAATCAACTTATTAAGCACTTTAAAGAATTATTATCTCAAAGTAAATATTAAGCCATTATTATTCCCATCAATATTGTTTAGACTTCAAAAAAAATCCTGGCACCAAAAACACATTCATGTTACTTCGAGTTTTACTGGTTTGGTTGATTAACAGGACATGCTTAATCTGTGCCCTTGATGCTGTTTGGTCAACATGAACAGATATGGGGATACAAATGAGATTTCATACTCACTGTCCCTGTCTGCCTCTCCCAGCCATACTGTTAGCTGTGTAAGTGTTGGATTCATCCCTAGCGATCTCATCACTGTTCCACAATCTTTCGACGGAATGGAACCTTCACCAGCATCAAACGCCGAAAAGGCGTCTTTAAACTCTGGAATATCATTGAAAAAATGATAAACATTGTACAATCAAACAGAACTATAATATGTATATATATATATATAATCACATATTTGTCCATTACAAATCTATATAAATTAGTTAACTGCCGATGTGTAGCTAGAAATAAGAAAATTGAATTCATAACACTTATCATATGGATTCATGGAGAACTACCGTACCTAAAGTTTGCATAAGTTAACACGGCGGGTGTCATTGATGAAGCAGAAGATGCTTACTCTTCTGGGACACCTGGTCTTATTATCCTTGTACCTTTTCATCTCTGTGTAAACCTTTCTTTTGTTCATATTTTGCCATAGTTTCATGGAATTTGAGTCGATTATAGTTGTGCTGCCATGTTGTTATTTTCTTATTATTTTTATTCATTTATTTATTTTTTTGTAACATGTTTGGAGGAGAAAATGGTCCACGTGGAAATAATGTAACTCACCGTTTACCTGCTCCTCTGTCAAATTCTCCACCTGTAAATAGATAAGTAATAAATCTAATCACAGTTTAATCCGCGCAGATCAATGCCACCTCTCACTGGATACAAAATTGTTGACATCGTGAACTTGACATTCAAGAGCAATAACAAAAACATAACAAGTAAAGACCATGTAATACTCTCTTTTGTCTAATCTAGTTATAACGTACAGAACAACAGGAATTAGCTATGGTCTTTGATATGTATGTACTTACACCACACAGTCCACATGTAAATCGAAAGTCAGATCATTTATTTACCTACAGAAGAATTTAAGGTCAAATCTGGAATCGGGTTTAATCATGTTTATGTCAGGTTTCATAGAATGTGATAACGGTTCTTCATTGATAAAATCCAGGAGTTTAATAGATTACATATTTGTACAGAAAATATGGTACGTACTTAAGTCAATCTGACGACATCACAAGATACCACAACACTGTACAGTACACAAACCTTAGCTATCAGTTATTCTATGATAAATGTATAAACTGTTCCAGCACATACCATTTTTAGTCGTTTGTAGTATCTTCATCCACGTCTTTTACTTCGTTCGGAACACTGTAATCAATGGCGGTAGTGTTTTGATTTACGAAACAATGACGTTTTAACTAACCACTGTAGGGTAGGCGGTGCGGCGTCTTTCAGGGAGTAGCTTGGATAGATTATTAAAAAACAATGTTACTTCACCTTGATGGCGCTGAACTCTAGATAACTTATTTCTACGTATTTTATACAAGTATACACATAGAATTAATATGATACTTTAAAAGTCATTTTGTTTTCCTTGAAAATATTTTTGTTTTCTAAAAACAGGTTTTTCATTTTGATTTTGAGATTAAAGTTTTAAAAAAATGTTCCAAATTAAAATGCTGCAACTATTTTCTTCAATTTCGTTAAAGAACAACGTGTTAAAAACATTTTTTTTTCTTAATGAAATGGACGCGATAACCGGTTAAAGCAATGGCGTACGTACTTGTACAATTTAACTACTGGCGACTATTCGAGGTGAGGACTCAGAAAAGGACGGTCTGTGCTCATCTGGTCGTGACTTTGAGCTAGACACTTACTTGCTTTGAATTCGAGGTGACAGGATTCCCGTATACTGTTCAGTGTGGTAGTCACCATATTCACTACCAGGACATAACGCCTTAAAATGACACTGGCTGTTGACGTTGGGTTGAGGTTAAACCAAGGAAACAGCTTCATAAAAAACATCTATAACGTATTTCTATCTGTGTTCGCGTTACTTAACAAAGGCATCAGATCAATTAATGTTTTAATATAAAAGTACAATATAATTAGTTATATGTTTCAGCTTCTTACTTAACTGCATTTGGTACCAATATATTTTTTGCGGATATTTGTGACTTAAAATTTACACTTCAACGTTAGCTTATTGTCGTGATCCAGTAGGATACCGGAGATAGGGCGTCGCGGGTTGAGCGAATTGAATTCTAGAATGCAAAGAATTTGGGATATTCTGGGTCCTTACCGTTGTTCATCAATGCACTATCATATATATAATGTGTAGGATTGAATAAACAATGAACTTAAATTAATGTTTTTTGGACATCTTCATTTGCAACCGAGCTCACATACATCAGTATTGACACATGGTTTGATGTGACAAAAGTTAGAGAGACATTAAAGTGACACGTTCCATGCCTGCCTTCCTTGGTATTTTACAAGCAGTCCCGAATTTCTCAGTTAACGGGGGATATGAGAAGATAAGTTTGTGATAATGGGGTATAAGTTCTGTCAGGATTTTAAATAAATTTTATTGTATCCGGAACAGACACTCGTGAATGGCATGTTTAACGAAGTAGACATATTATCTACCGTCGTTCTATTGTTCAACACAGTTTGTTTGTCCGGGTCCTTTAACTACTAAATGGTACGCTTGTATATTACAGGGAGGCCATTTTATAACTAAATGCTGTGATACCAAGGCCTTGTCACCAGCCAAACATGTCTCTTTCAAATTAACTAAAAGGTCAAATAAATAAAACAAAAACGGTATTCGAGATCAATTAAGAGTTTACGACAGAAACATTGTGATAGCCAAGCTTAGTTATATTTGACAGATAAGCACAATAGATTGAAACATAGCCTAGTATGTTATCCTTAAAATTTAAAATTCTTTCAAAATTTTAAATAAGAAAGGGCTTTTAGTGATATCGCCCAAACTACACATGAGGATGAAATATGCAGTGACATTGTTTTTAAAACCTACTCATCACTACCTCCACTTCGGATCCCGCTACGTCAATACTTTATAATGTAGTGTGGAGAACTACAGGAAGCGAAACCTCAGTGAAACGTTTAAATCAGGTGAAATCATACCACAACGGTACCCTCCTCATATCATACAAGATGGGATTAAGAAAGCTTTACATCTACAAATAAAGCTAAAATCATTTATTCACCAAGAAAAGAAAGCCAAAACTAATTTGTAATAATATTAATAACAACTCACAACACGTGATATAAAAGCCTCTCTGTTACAGTACACCAGATGCTGGAATTATTCAAACAGGATGAAGCATTGAATGAAGTTTGAAAGAAAACCATATTTATCGACAGCAGAAGAGAATACCGATATGTACTTTTTATCATTTTTTTTTTCAAGCACTAAACTACAATGTTTCAAATGAATAATTATTTTCCATTAAATTATGACGTCACATTGCTGCATTTGTTATGACGTCACAAACAGTGTCAAGTAACAATGCATTAAAACAAATTGTGTAATTAAACATCATAGATATGCAGAAATGAAAACGCTAAAGCTTAAATACACCAGTTTTTTCAAGTTTATTTTGAATTGAGGAAACAGTCGCCTGAAGATGGCCTCTAGGCCTGAACATGTGTTTATTCCGTATTATGTACGTGCTATATTGTTGATTGTGACGTCATTAAGATATTAAAAGATACAGAAATATACAACTATCACTTTAGAGAAATATATTTGGATATAACTAACTAAATAAGTTTATAAATATTAGGAATGTTATCGTTATAACATGTGGAATGAACAAAGAGAGATAATCCATTTAAATGTAGAATAATAATTTAACAAAACGCAGAGAAATGAGCACTGCTGTCCAGATTCGCGCCAAACTGTCACACCAGCTTCACGAGATCCCACGGTGTCTACGTCACATTGCGTCTGTAGTTACCACCAAGAGACTGACCATCAGATCGTTAGAGGTGTTCCGCTCTCCACAAATTCCATGATCAAAAGACAAAGCCTTGGTGAGTAAAAGTGTAAGTGGCCTGGCCTCCCTAACACAGGTTCCCTACAAGATGACTGATCCCTGTGGGAAAGGCGGCTTCCATCCCCCCCACCTCCAAGTCTATCGCGAGGGAAAGTCCCTCCTACCGTTCTCGTTCAACGTCGTCAAATGTATCTCGGACTGATATGACGTGTCGTCAGGACTATCCCGGAGTAATGGCTGTTGTCCTGTTACGACGTGTCGTCAGGACTATCCCAGACTAATGGCTAGTGACCTGATATGACGTGCCGTCATGTTTATCTCGGACTAATGGCTGGTGTCCTGATATGACGTGTCGTCAGGACTATCCCGGACTAATGGCTGGTGACCTGATATGACGTGTCGTCAGGACAATCCCGGACTAATGGCTGGTGTCCTGATATGACGTGTCGTCAGGACTATCCCGGACTAATGATCTGGTGACCTGATATGACGTGTCGTCAGGACAATTCCGGACTAATGACTAGTGTCCTGATATGACGTGTCGTCAGGACTACCCGGGCTAATGGCTAGTGACCTGATATGACGTGTCGTCAAGTTTATCCCGGACTAATTGCTGGTGTCCTGATATGGCGTGTCGTCGGGACTATCCCGGACTAATGGCTGGTGACCTGATATGACGTGTCGTCAGGTTTATCCTTACTTTGACCACTTACACTACGCGATACTCGAAATCAACCTCTAGACCTCAAAGGTTTTTGGGAAATCGGTTTAGTTGAAATTTAGTATCCTCATTCTGGGTTTAACATGAATGAAGGCGAATTGTGGTTAGAAATGGTCGTCGGCGGTAGTGAAAACGTCGCGTCTGTGCAGTTCGATCCCGGAGCATTGGCGAGACTGCATATGAAAGCAGGTTATTATTCGACTGTGAAAGGCCTATTGGGATATCTGAGGAAAGGAATGGTATCATGTTCAGAATGAATGTCGACGATGTTGTTAGCAGAGTTACGTTAACGATATCGGCTAGCTTACGCATCGTCGTAAGCGAAACATCAGCGAAATTGTTAAGTTTCAAGAAAAGGAGATTTTCAGAAGGAAAACACAAAGAATTACATGACAGACGTCAAATTCTTTTCCATCTACGTATTGTGTGCGTAAGTAGAACCCCAAATGGTAGGTAATATTGCTTACGTTTCTTATTCATTAATTCGTATGTTAATCCCTTCAAGAATGAAGAATAATATGGATCATGGAAAAATAAGTAGATGAAAAATTGATATATTTACAAAATAATGTAGTGACTGAAAATGTAAGCTTGTCACAAGGTGCAATGTATTGAATAACATAGCCACCCAGTAGGACACAAAAATAACAAGAACTCGTGTTTTACTGAAAATGTAAGCTTGTCACAAGGTGCAATGTATTGAATAACATAGCCACCCAGTATGACACAAAAATAACAAGAACTCGTGTTTTACTGAAAGGAATTTTGAACAAGATTGAAATAAATGATGGTATTTGAATATTCTGTCTCGCCTTCTCAAGAATAACACAAACGTAAACAGATCAGTCTTGGATATATTTAGTGAAGACATGCTGCAGAGGAGGCTGGTCAACATACAACGAGTAACTGCGTCGGCTACAAGCTTATTGCATTATGCACATGCTTATTCACAATCTGGAAAAATAAGAAAACATTTTTAATAAAAGCAAAATAAATGAAGGACTGATATTATACTACAGATACGTACATCTAGTGAGGTCTTTGCTGAGACGCTGTCTTCAGTCACGTTATATTTACACAACATAACAATTTCTTTTGATGTTGCCGTATTTGTTTAAGAGGACCTATCTGGTTTGTAGGAAGGTTAACATTACACCGTGTAATCCATTTATTTCAAACATTTGTAACAAAACGCATTGATGAATTCTTAATTATGTGTGAAAAAGTAGAAGCATGAAAATTTTTTCCTGAAGTAAAGTATGTGTCCAGTCCTTAGGCCTTTAGAATGTATTGTCTATTTGTTATTATAATGAGTATACATAGACTCACAACGCTTTATATCTAATTATATAAAATATTTCTCATTATAAGGACGGGCTTAGATAAAAGATATTTGTCATTAAAGATATTTTGTCTCCAAACATTGGATTAGAAGTTCATTCCGTGCTGCAGTAAAAGTTCCGGCGACCAGCTGTTCAAAGTGATCACACATGCAATTTGTTGGCTTTGTAGGGTATTTTCACCAATTACGTCACCATAAAGTGCTCGCGATCAGGTATTTATGATGCACTATATATTTGTACATTAATGAGACTTTAGATAGGACTATATTTGTTTTATCGCGGTCACAAACTTTTCAACAAAACAAAATCCCTCAGTTGATATAATGATCTCCATCAGTCTCGTATGAAGTAATACACCTGTTATCTGTCAGATCTCCTCTAGAATACCAAATGCCTGACTTCGAGTCATGGCTGATAAACAACATGGACCCTCTCAGCAGCGCGTGCTATATCTCTTCAATACATTTGTAACACTGTATCATTATGTTTTCCATATTTTAATTCAATACAATTATTGTTACCGAAGAAAATCACCATCAAAACACAGTTCAAGACATGTTTAGGTTAAAAATGAACAGGATGATTTTTAACGCAAGTTTCATACATGTATGCTAGGTCATGAATAAAGACCGGTACTTGGCACAAGTAGGTCAATATCTCTTCCCGTATGGAATGTCAGATTGTCATTTGAACCTTACCCACTTGGGATATCAATGCAGCTATATAATTAAGTGTACCTGTATATGCTACCAAGATTTCGTAGATGCTGCGATAGAATGACGCCACTCTCCGTGTAACAACTTACACTGAAAAATAACTGGTAAGTACATATCACATTGCTTTATACCAGGACTATACAGATATTCTGGTTTTAGAATAAAATCTGTTGCTTGAAAAAATGGAAAGGAATTGGTCACCGGTAATGACAATTTAGATTTTGTTCATTTCCGTCAATATTAAACAATGGAGTGTATAAACATCTATTGTATAACATTCATTTTTATCACGTAATCCGCCTGTTATCTAGTAAATTCACCCAATACATACTTTGTATATGGAACTGGTATATCCTGATATGTTTTGCATTTGTTGCGTCAGTCCGAAATCAATTATGATGTCACAATGTGCACAATGACATTACGTCACGAACTGAAATGAACAAAACGGCTTTGTCCTTCACAATTTTGCTTTAAACCAGCAAAATGTAACTTTTCTGAGTTATGTGATAAAATATATCTTAAATTTGTTTCTAATAAGATTTCTTTTGAATCTTGTATCGAAGTTCGATTGTTTGCTAGCAAAAATATAAAATTCATTATTTATTTTTTTCGATAGTGGCATGGTTCAGAATATATATATTTACTGTTTTTTTTTTTAATTTACCAGATAATGCAAATTACACAATTCATATCCATGTATCGAAGTGTATTGGCATCAGGTTGTTTTCAGATTGCCCAGTCTTTGTAGTAACATTCCTCCTTCACTGACTTTGTGTAACGTGATGTTACACTTTGTCATGACTCCATTTCTCACCTTTTCAAAGAGACATTACTTGATTTGGGGAAAAACGTAAGATAGGTGACGTCGCCGACAAAGATGCCTGCCTCTCCAGAACAAGTGACATCTGTGTACATGTCGGCGTTCGTTTCATTTGACAGGTTTTTATAACAAATCATGGCCGAACTGAAGAACATTACTGGAACTATAAACTCAGATGTCCAAAATGACGTCATGCCGTCTAGTGACGTCAAAGATACTGAGCAGGAAATGAAAAACTTGGAGTCGACGTGCAGCAAGGCTTTAAGGACAGTTGTACTTGTCTGTGTGTGGATATCAATGGTGAATATGATTTCTTTATCTATAATATCTAATTTCTACTGTGGCTGAGAAGGATAAGGGAACACATCGTATTATTTCCGTGACTTTGTAGTATTTAGTTTAAACCCAATAAGATGCCACCACATTGTACGTTATCTAGTAGTTTCATTCCTTGCGAATTCATGCGACTACACCACAGGAGATGAGAACAAGCTGTAGAAACACCAAATTATACAGTTAGGTCTAGACAGGCTACCTAACTTCTGTCGAGAACAGTCACTGAGCGGATATAAGTTCCTGTCAGATAATTGTTTATTGAAGGTAGAATGTTTTTGTTTCTTCCCCTAATTTGTTCTAAACAAAACATACTCTGGAGGAAAAACACCTTTGTTTCAATCCTATTTCAAACGGTTAACTAGCAATACCGTTCACACATAATAAAATGGATTCTTTTGTTATATGACCTAGATGTACATCAAAATTGAATCTTGTATTAATATGGTGTCAACAGTTTCTTCAACTTCGATGTCCTTTCCCAGCCACCGTTGTTTTTTTTTTATTATTTTTATTTATTTTTTTTTTGGGAGGGGGGGGGGAGAGGGGTGTTTTTTTGTTTTTGTTTTTGTTTTTCTCTTTTTTTTTTAAGTCTCATCAAAGCAGAAAATGACATTGTACGTGACATCATTTTCCATGGTCATAAGCAACGGTTAGGGTTTAAGAAATATCTTTCGAAAAATAAATGAATAAAAACCAAATGAATCTTCATGAACCGACAGTCATAACCATTTTTGTACAGGGAACATATATGGAAATAAATGGACCAACGTTAAAAGACTTGATTTTGAGAACAAGAAGTAGTTACGAGGATGTCACAAGTGCTGTTTCCGGTCGTAGCGTTGGGAAATTTGTTGGTGTGGTGATTGGTGGGTTGATAACAGACAGATTTGGCCGTTACTCTGATCTCTTCATTGCTCTGTCACTGACTGTAGCGGCAATAACTGTGGCCATTGTTCCGTGGATCAACCACACTGATGTTCTCTGGGCGTTCTACCTCCTTCTTGGCATTACAATTGGAACCATCGACATTGGTGAGACAAACACTTAGCTCTAAGACACGTCCTACTTGTTACAGTGTAACACAATTTTCATGCCAATATTACGTATCATTTTGTGACTTATTTCCAAATTATTCATTTAAAGATTGATTGTTTTAAAACAGCATAGTTTAAAAGTGATAGCGTCATACAAATGACATCAGTCAAATAATACCCAATGCTCTTTTATGAATTACTCAGCGACGCTTTATATTATGTTTTAATAGTGTACTAGAGATGTAGCGAATTCGACCACCTAATATTCTTTGGTCTTCGTTGCAATTTCAGCTGGACAGAGAATAGTGTTGGTCAGTTGGAAAGAAAAAGCGGCTTCTCCAATGCACATCGTCCACCTGGGCTACGGCGTGGGTGGATTTGTCGCTCCTCTCATCGCAAACCCCTACCTAGCTGTCACAGAGACTGTGGGTCCTAACACCACAAACTCGTCTATTTCAAACACATCCATGATACCGACTACCACTATCCCAACCACCACTACAACCAGTGTTATCTCCCCTTCTCGTATAGAATATGCCTACGCCATTGTAGCTGGAATAGCTGTTGTTGTAGCTAGCGTTCTTTACGGATATCAATGCAGAACCTCTCTTTTAAGCCGCAAGCATGAGACAATGAAAAGTGACAACCAGAACCTCACCAGGACTAGAAAATGGCGGGAAATGTTAAACCCGGCCTCCTGTGCTGAAGGTCACTTTTGCTTTGGGTTTCTTATACTGGTTGCGTTGTTCTTGAAATATTTCGTATACACAGCCTGTGACAGAATGTTCTCGACGTTCATTAGATCGTATTCAATCGACCACCTAAACTTCAATAATGATGATGCCAGTTATCTTAACACATTGTACTGGATCTTTTACGCTGTCGGTAGATTTGTAGGCTTCGTGTCCGCCAGATGGGTCAGTGTTAAGGTTCTACTGATGGTTGAATCAGCCTGTTTGTTAGGTGTCAGTGTAGGCCTATATACAATAGCAACCTATTCTCAAACAGCGCTCTGGGTGTTAACAGCAATGGCAGGGTTCTTTATAGGACCCATTTTCCCGTCAGGAATAGCATGGGGTGACCTCCACATTGAATTGACAGGACTGGCCATCACATGGGTTTTACTTGGAAGTTCCTTTGGGGGGCTGGCTTTTCTAAGATTCGGCGGTTATGCCTATGATCATCTTGGCAACAAAGCTTTTGTGTTTATGTTTATGATATTAACGATAACAGTTCTCTGCGTTGATATTCTGCTAACTGTCCTGAGTTTGGCTAAGAAACGTATTACTGGTCGGAAGGGTTAGGGCGGATCCACAAACTTCTGGTGTTTTATACGTATGATTAACCAACTAATGTACAAAATAAAAAAAATACAAAACATAAAATAAGAAGTTACGACGACGTTCCTTAAGATACAAAGATTTTCTTAGGATTCAGTTAAGAAATAATGGTAGAGTGTCGGTGTGAAATGTTTACACATGGAGTAAAATCAGAATTACTGGAAATGTGTTTTTATATATGGAGCAAAACCGTTTGAGCTACAACGAGGAACTGACATGTTGGATATTGTATATTATACGTACAACAAAATAAATTGTAATGGTCCATATTACACAGAAAACATGAACAATGTCTCATTTTTATATCAACAGCTCGATGACAGATCCTGACATCGCATTACTTACATAATATATACAATGTATATTATTGGTGTATCACGTGACATCAAATGACATACATGTGTACCACGTGACATCAAATGACATACAGGTTTACCGCATGACATCAAATAACATACAGGTTTACCACGTGACATCAAATGACAAACAATTGTGTATCACGTGACATCAAATGACATACAGGTGTACCACGTGACATCAAATGACATACATGTGTACCACGTGACATCAAATGACATACAGGTTTACCGCATGACATCAAATAACCTACAGGTTTACCACGTGACATCAAATGACAAACAATTGTGTATCACGTGACATCAAATGACATACAGGTGTACCACGTGACATCAAATGACATATAGGTTTACCACGTGACATCAAATTACATGCATGTAATATATACAATGTATATTATAAGTGTACCACGTGACATAAAAATGACATACACGTAATATATACAATGTATATTATTAGTGTATCATGTGACATGTTGTGCTACCCAGTAGGAGTAATAATGATGTTTATGTTAATATCTGTCAGCTATACCAGTGATATATGGAATACTGAATGTTAACTTGTCTGTCAAATTTGATACACTGATAATTCTGATCTATTATATTTTTTGTTTTTATTCTGCATTTTCATATGTCGGAACAAGGTCACGTGTTCTACGATTTTTATTTATATTGCACTGTAAACTAGATAATTTATCATATCGCACCGCTTTTTAATAAAACAATATTTTTAATAAGAGGGAATTTCTATTCACGTCACGCATCTTTTTTAACCAATTAAAAACAAAAAAAAATCTTCAGCGCCCATCATTTGTGATTGTAAACATGGAGGCAGACGACTGGCAAGTTTTCAATGGGATTCGCCGAGTTTCTGTAATGTTTGTTAAATATGAGATTGCGGGGTGAAATAATCAAATGAAATGTAATACAACCATTGATTCAATATGAGAATTGATTAATATCGACCTCGGTCGGATGTAAAATACTTTCTCATATATCAACAAATGAACATTGGGTGGTGTCTGTGACAAATAACTCAGTATATAGAAAAAGGGAGTTATCTGTGTCTCTCTGCTATGTATAACTCGCCCTAGAGCCTATATAAATTACATTTGTATATTTTACAACAAAAAGAGCAACATGACTGATAATCTTGTTTTCCTGTGCAAGTCAGAAAGATTGTCAGAAATAGATATATGTTAAAAAAGCAGTGTTTAAGAAAAAAAAATTCGAAAATAATAGAAGGCTTGGGTCTGAAGTTGGCGACTGTATATACAATTGTAGAAAGGTTAGAACCATTTGTTATTTTAACCTCCCCGTCCAAGACGGATGCCAGCTAAAGGTCAATATTGTTGATTACCTTACAGTAAAACAAGATTACAACAACACCGGTATTAGGAGAGCCTTGCATTCCTCAACAGATTCACCAGTAACCGATTAAAATGCATCTCATTAGCAGTTTCCTGTTGTAAACCCATGATGTCAAAGGGGGGTAACTCTTGCTGCCCTATCAAACTAACGATTAAAAATGGAAAACACGGAAATTAGTTAAGTAGATTGAATTAATAAGACAGCATTAACAGAATGGGGCACATCTAGCTGTGCTTAATGATTTAAATACTAACCCATTATTTAACAAAGTTTATGTCACGATCGGTAATTAATTTTATTCAAAATTACCTAAAGGTGCTGTTGTACTTGGCGATGGTGGCGTTAATACGCGTAACTACAACAGAAACATGTAAATGATATAATGTACATATAGAAACGGTTTCTGTGGTCAACACTTCTGTCGTAGAAGTACTTAAAGCAGGTCGTTAAAATTATATTTCGTTTTACTACGTTGTAAATTACCAAGTCTCTCGATTACACTCAGATTTAATCCTTCTATTTCCCTCCTCAAGTTCAATATCTATCCCCTCCTAGTTCAATCTCTCCATTACCCTTCTTCCATTCAGTATCTCGACCCCCCTCTCCCATTATCCCTTAGTTCAGCCTCTCGATTCCCTTTTCCTAACAATGTAGTTCAGTTTCTCTATTCTCTAGCCTTAGTTCAGCCTCTCGATTTCCTTTTCCTAACAATGTGTTTCAGTTCCTCTATTCTTTGGCCTCAGTTCAGTTTCAGAATCCCCGGCTTTTGTACAAATCTCTCTTTTAGTTGCTTAATACTCTCCACTTTTCCCATCACTCGATTCCCCCCTTCCTGGTTCAGTCTCTCTAAATCCAATCTCGCTACCCCCCCCCCCTCCCCCCACCCCCCCCCTACCCCACTCCCCCAACTCATCCTCACACTTCCCACTTCCCTTGATTTCCTTCCTTTTGATATTCTCTTCCTTTTTCCTCCATGCTTCAGTGTTAGGATTTACTCAATCTCTTTACAATCGAAAGTCTGACCAGGCGTAAAGCCGGACAAGTCTACCAATTAAGCTAGAGAAGAGGGGAGCAAATTATACACCAGCGAGCTAGGTAAACAACAGGGCAGACACCTGATAATCAGCTGGCAAACTGGAGCTTCAATGGAGCGTAAAAGTATGGCAGCATAATTCACCAGATGATTTTTTATATATATTAAGCGGTATGTCCGTGACACAGTCCTGTCAGATGAAATGATAAGTGGGCGTGTCTATAGGGAGAGAACTGGGATAATATGCAACATATAAAACTTTATTCCGAAAGATAAAAATAACCATACAAATGAAAATAAAATCTTACTCGATGAATTCTCCAGGAATGAAGTATTATTAAAGATTAAGGCATTTTTCTCCACTTCACGACGTGTGTAATGTAATTAATAGATAAATGATAAGCTAATAGACTACACGGTTCTTGTAATCTACAATGCATTTATTATTCAGGTCGTTATGTATATATCGTGTATGTAGCGAGCGTGACGTCAGTCTTATTATTATAACCTCAAATTTAATAGCAAGGGGCGTGTATTATCAAGGTCAGGGGTCACTGCAAAGCGTTACGATGACTATAGCGAGAGTCTATATAGGCTAAAATGTTTTAAAGCACCCTATGTACGGAGGGGAAGCCGGGTTTAGGCAGGGCAATGTTTGCAAGAAAATCGGATGATTTTGTCAAACATTGACCACTTGTTTCGTGTGAAACGTTGTAAAGTGAGTGATTCATTCAAAAGATTGACCATAACATTAGCTGATAAATCAGTATTAAGAACGCGTTATCTTATTCAAAGTTGAAGATTTTTATCTTGGAACGCTTGGAGTACTTTACATTTCTGTCCGAAGTGAATTTACCAAGATGCCACATTGGAATAATGAAAACGGTATGCAGAGGGACAGCAAGCTTGAACTTACGTCTGTAGAACTAAGGTAAGGATTTCTTAAGTTGACGGTAACACTTTCTAACACAACCGTGGCAATAAGACGACGAGATAGCTATGCAGATTGAAAATTAAAATAAGTAATAAAACCAGAAAATATACGATAGTGAGATAGATAGACAGGCGTAAAATATTTCTTAATAAACAGGCGTAAAATATTTCTTAATAAACAGGCGTAAAATGTTTCTTAATAAACAGGCGTAAAATATTTCTTAATAAACAGGCGTAGAATATTTCTTAATAAACAGGCGTAAAATATTTCTTAATAAACAGGTGTAAAATATTTCTTAATAAACAGGTGTAAAATGTTTCTGAATAAACAGGTGTAAAATGTTTCTTAATAAGCAGGTGTAAAATGTTTCTTAATAAGCAGGTGTAAAATGTTTCTTAATAAGCAGGTGTAAAATGTTTCTTAATAAGCAGGTGTAAAATATGTCTTATTAAATAGGTGTGAAATGTGTCTTAATAGACAGGTGTAAAATGTATCTTAATACAGGGGTGTAAAATATGTCTGAATACACGGGTGTTAAATGTGTCTTAATAAACAGGTGTAAAATGTGTCTTAATACACAGGTGTAAAATGTGTCTTAATACACAGGTGTAAAATGTGTCTTAAAACACGGGTGTAAAATGTATCTTAATACACAGGTGTAAAATGTGTCTTAATACACAGGTGTAAAATGTGTCTTAAAACACGGGTGTAAAATGTATCTTAATACACAGGTGTAAAATGTGTCTAATACACGGGTGTAAAATGTATCTTAATACACAGGTGTAAACTGTGTCTTAATACACAGGTATAAAATGTGTCTTAATACACGAGTGTAAAATGTATCTTAATTAACAGGTGTAAAACGTGTCTTTATAAACAGGAGTAAACTGTATCTTGATAAACAGGCGTAAAAGGAGTCGATACGATAATGAGATAGACAGGTTCAAAATGTGCCTTAATAAACAGGTGTACAATGTGTCTTAATACACAGGTGTTAAATGTGTCTTAATAAACAGGTGTACAATGTGTCTTACTGTAATCAGTAAAAACAGCAAGTACAGGATAGTCGGATAGTTATACGAGTGGCATGTGTCTTAAAAACAACAACTGAACGATAGTGGTACACAGTATTTATGTAGGTGTAAAATGTGTGAGATACTTGTGACTCACATGAGAATATCAGAAAAAAAAAATTGATATATTTTTTTCTGTATCTTACAAAGTCATCACCCACATAATCTAAGACGCGCGGTATGATTGTCATAATACACTATACGACATAGTAAAAATAAATTATGCGCGACTATTTATTTCTGGAAAGTTGACACATTTCATCTCTACACAGGGAAATCCGTTATTAAAAAGTTATGCATCAATGACCCACGTTATACATAATTATGTCTATTTGTTGTCGTTACCTGGTTTTGATATGTCTGACAGTTGTCTCGCACACACGGCTTCCTTCTTTCTTAATTAATATTCAGCTTGTCTCTAGCGGACAGGATGAAAAAGATAGCGAGCTCATCACACAATCACGAGCGCACCAATACACGTGGTATCATCACATAATCACGAGCGTACAAATACACGTGGTATCATCACATACTCACGAGCGTACAAATACACGTGGTATCATCACATACTCACGAACGTACAAATACACGTGGTGTCATCGCATACTCACGAGCATACAAACACACGTGGTATCATCACATACTCACGAGCGTACAAATACACGTGTCATCACATAATCACGAGCGCACCAATACACGTGGTATCATCACATAATCACGAGCGTACAAATACACGTGGTGTCATCACATACTCACGAGCGTACAAATACACGTGGTGTCATCACATACTCACGAGCGTACAAATACACGTGTTATCATCACATACTCACGAGCGTACAAATACACGTGGTATCATCACATACTCACGAGCATACAAATACACGTGGTATCGCGAAATAATCACGAGTGTACAAATACACGTGGTGTCATCACATACTCACGAGCGTACAAATACACGTGGTGTCATCACATACTCACGAGCGTACAAATACACGTGGAGTTATCATATACTCACGAGCGTACAAATACACTTGGTGTTATCATATACTCACGAGCGTACAAATACACGTGGTATCATCACATACTCACGAGCGTACAAATACACGTGGTATCATCACATACTCACGAGCGTACAAATACACGTGTTATCATCAAATACTCACGAGCGTACAAATACACGTGGTGTTATCAAATACTTACGAGCGTACAAATACAAGTGGTGTTATCACATACTCACGAGCGTACAAATACACGTGGTGTTATTACATACTCACGAGCGTACAAATACACGTGATAACGTCACATACTCACGAGCGTACAAATACACGTGGTATCATCACATACTCACAATCGTACAAATACACGTTGTATCGTCACATACTCACGAGCGTACCAATACACGTGGTGTTATTACATACTCACGAGCGTACAAATACACGTGGTATCATCACACTCACGAGCGTACAGATACACCTGGTGTCATCACATACTCACAAGCGTACAGATACACCTGGTGTCATCACATACTCACGAGCGTACAAATACACGTGTTGTTATCATATACTCACGAGCGTACAAATACACGCGGTGTTATCATATACTCACGAGCGTACAAATTCACGTGGTGTTATCATACCACTCACGAGCGTACAAGCACGTGGTGTCATCACATACTCACGAGCATACAAATACACGTGGTATCATCACATACTCACGAGCCTACAAATACACTTGTTATCATCACATACTCACGAGCGTACCAATACACGTGATATCGTCACATACTCACGAGTGTACAAATACACGTGGTATCATCACATACTCATGATAGCCACCTTCAGTGATGCTTTTGTAACATCGAACCACGATAGTGCACGAAATGTTTCGGATACTTAGAAAAGTAAGTTGTTGTACCATGTTAGAGACGTGGGAGTTGGAATGCTGGGAAGAGAGACACTGATAACGAACGCTTCTGTGTGCGACCTCTACTTAATATATGTCTGAGGGAGCGATATTTCCTGAAATATTTTAAGTTAATGACATTTGTCTTCTGAAGACGGTTCGTGATTCGTGTCACCTGATCACAAACACCTATCATTGGTTTTTAAATAATGAGGTCTTGAAACACTCATTAGTACATATGGTTGGAACTGAATTCCGAAGATATTAGAAATAAAGTAATTCTAAAAAAATATAAGTAAATAAAACAAAATAAAAAAAGATGAAAACAATAATTAATATATGTGATACTATTTATCGTGTGATCGGATATCTGACAGAATTTGGTCCTAAATGTTAAAAGCATTTGAAATAAAACGTTTTTACCATATCGAGTTATGTCTCATGTCTTACTTCCGTTCAGTGGCAGACATATTTACATAGGACTACGATATGCGGTTTTTGATTCCATGTGTTGGTGTCTACCAGTCAAATTATTGCAGAAATTTTGTATTAATTCCCAAACCTAAGGTTGGAGATTTTCCTAATTTGTTTGCACATTACAACTCCTAAATCGTGTTTTATCCATTCAATCTAATTAAACTTTAGATTCATTCTCAAAACTTTGTATAAAGTAACATATTCTTATAAGGAAATGTAACCCAGTGGATTGTTCATCGTCAGAAACAACCAAATGCACTTGTCTGTTGTATGATTCTCTTGTCAAAATTACCAACTAGTCACGACAGAGAAAATGCCATGCTGACAGGATCGTTGAATATCAAGATCCAAAATGTTGTAGTGGGGATATCAGTTTGCGACCTGGACTTGGACAGTTCCAGAATAGGAACGATTCACACGCCCCAGATCTTCACTTGGGACTACAAAGTTCAACGCTCTACCACCTGAATAATCACGATCTTTCCTTAAATCAAAATGTGACACTGTACTTAATTATAACAAACGATTAAACCAGAGAGACTCTCGCTAATTAAAATTGACAACATGTCACAATTTTCACACCTAAGTGTCAAAGATATTTACACATCAAACAAAATAGGGGGGGGGGCGCTCTAAAGCGCGCGATTTTTTACTGAAACTTTCATAACCGGCGATGATATTTCTATCTCGGGGTAGTGATTCACTGCAGGAAAACCTTTATATCTAATCTTCTCTTAATGCACAAAGAAGTACATTATGTAAAATCAGTGCCGTGTATTTTGATAAAAAGAAGAAATTGCTGTGTTGGGCTCGCTCTTTTTAGTGAATTATGTAAACAGTATTTGTCCAATTCACCCTTTTTAATGACAATTTTAATGCTGTGATATTTCACAGCGGAGATATCACATCAGAAATTACGGATGTCGGACAAAGACGGACACCCAAAAATAACATATAATTGACAAGTAATGTAAGCCTATACAGGACAGACGGACGCATATCTTCATTTAATTTTGTCAATCTTGAATTAATCAATTCAAAATACCGGTCTACGTATCCTTAACACTGATCCTTAATATAAATGTAAATTTTAACAAATTCCAACTTTCAGTATTTAAAGGAACATAACATATACTCTTCTACAAAAGTTGGGTTTTTTTTATCATTGTAAGACGATAATTTCTTCCTGTGCCGAATGTGATCTCCATGTCCATGTACATAATGTACATACTACTATTGGTGTGTTTATTTAACCTACTCCACGCCGGGTTATAAAACACAAACAGACGGAATAGTTGTGTTTCACTTGTGACCTTTTTAAAGTATTTAATACGAGAAAGCAAAGTATTTCCTATTTGTGACATTTTAAAATAGATAATAAAAAATCTTTACTGATTAAATGAAACAAAATGATACATATTTGCATCGTCAAGTCTATCTTAGATGTAAAGTATTTGATTTGATATGAAAATATTATGTGTTTTCAGTTTACCACAATAAAACGTGAACACCGGTATTGTCTTCTATTTATCATTATTGATCCAA